TCATTTTGGATAAAGTAAGGAAGGGTTATAACCCCTGTTAGATTTTTTTTTCTCTATCTGTGTTCTATTGCAGAGATTTAACTTCACTTCTTGTCCCATTGCCAAGCAGAAAGTGAGAGGAAATCCCTGCAAGATAAAAGAAGTCCTTGGGGATCCCCAGGTCATCAGAACTAGTGTCCCCATTGGAAGATTTCCCCAGGATGCTGACAGCTCGAGAGGAGAGGAGAGCCGGTAAATCGGCTTTCCGCAGAGGGGACATGTACACTGGTCATCAGGGCAGTGATGATCAGTGTACATGTTGATCAGTGTAGCCCCAGAAGTGCCACCTGTCAGTGTTCATCAGTGCCACGTACCAGTGCCCATCAGTGCCACGTGCCAGTGTCCATCAGTGCCACATCAACACCACATATCAGTGCATACCAGTGCACATCAATGGCACATATCAGTGCCCATCTGAGCTGCCTTTCAATGTCACCCATCAGTTCCAGTCAGTGCCACCTATTAGTGCTGCCAATCAGTGCCACCTATCAGTGCCAGTCAGTGCCGCCTAACAGTGCCAGTCAGTGCCGCCTATCAGTGCCAGTCAGTGCCGCCTATCTCTGCCACCTATCAGTGCCATATATCAGTGTCATGTATCAGTGTCATGTATCAGTGCTGCCTTTCAGTGATCAGTGATGCCTGTCATTGCCCATCAGTGCAACCTACCAGTGCCTCCTCATCAGTGCCACCTATCAGTGTACATCAGTGCAGCCTATCAGTGCCCATCACTGCAGCCTCATTAGTGCACATCAGTGAAGGAGAAAAATCACTTATTTACAAAATTGTATAACAAAAAGTAAGAAAAAACATTTTTTTCTAACTTTTCTGTGGTTTTTGGTTTGTTTAAGAAAAAATAAAAATCCCAGAGGTGATTAAATACCACCAAAAGAAAGCTCTATCTGTCTCAAAAAAATGATAAAAATTTCATATGGGTACAGTGTTGCATGACCGCGCAATTCTCATTCAAAGTGTGACAGCGCTGAAAGCTGAAAATTGGCCTGGGCAGGAAGGGGGTATAAGTGCCCGGTAGGCTAGTGGTTAAAGGTTAACAGTGTAGGGAGTATGGCCACGTCTAAGTCTGGGGAATCACCTTTATGTTTGCTTTCAGGCTCTCTGCCTGGCATAGGCATTAGGCTGACATTAAGCCCGGCCCACAACTGTGCTCAGCATCCTGTTGCAGGAGCTTTGCCAAGTTTCTTCTAATTGAAAGAATATTTATTTAGTACTGCAAACATGGAGAACTTCATAACAAAGGTTCTTCATTGCACGGTATATTATTTTAATTGTACTGTATATTATTTGTAATAAATCATATATCCAATAATAATTTTTACCATGCAGAAGTCATGTGTTTCTTTATCTTTTTTATTTTCCAAAGTTAACATCAGAACAGATTGGGAATAAAATGGAGTATCTGTGAAGTTTTAATTGTCAGTTACTGTATGCCTCCATAGTGAGGGGAAATCCCACCTCTGACAGCTGTCACCAGAACATGTGTCCCCTCACGTCCAGTCTCAACGACATCTGTCAAATGTTGGATTTCTGCTCAATTTCTCTCCGGTGACAGAGGAAAAAAACATTTTGCCTAACGTTCCACTTTAGCTTCGCCTGTGTGTGAACCACTGCCAGTATCCTTTTCTTTCATACCAAAAGAAAAGAGGCGATAAATGAAACTATCTTGAATGACTACCAACAAACATTTTCAGATTCTGAGCCAGTGCTTGAGAACATTCATGAACTGAATGGTAAAGAATGTAAGGGGTCAGACTAGGAAACTGGTGAAAAGAAAAAGAGGAATTTTCAAGCCAGGGATTACACATTCTCATAGATGGACTGAGTGACATGTTCCCTCATTCTTTTGATATTAAAGGAAACCTGTACTGAGAAAGTACTGGGCAAGTGAAGTAGGTGGATCAGCATGGCAGCCAGGCAATGAGCATTTTCTGAAGGTGGTCAGCAGTGGCCAGTATTTTTGTTTACTGTTGGTTTGTACTGATCATGTTGGCTTTAGTTTATCTATGAATATTTATAGTGTGGCTTAGAACTCACTTCAAATGTGTATCTGTGGCAGAGGCGTAGCTAGGGGGGGGGGGCAGGGAGGTACATATGTACCCGGGCACCAAGGTACAGGGGTGCCAAAATGTGGCTTACAACCAGGGGCGTATTTGCCGCGAGGCAAACAAGGCATTTGCCTACGGTGGCACTTTTTAAGGGGGGCAGTGTGGTGCCACCGCCCCCCCTTTCAACAGAAGGGACACTTAGTACAGGGGTGGGCAGTGGGCTGCTGTGTCTTACCTGGCTCCATGTCCCAGTCCCACGATGATCCAGTCCAGGAGACACTGCTGGAGGAGGGGTGGAGAGGTCCGCAGGTCCGGTGTCTTCTTTTTCCTGGACACGATATGTGGGCGGGATGACATGCCGCCCCTGTCATCTGGCCACACCCTCGGGATCACTGGACAGCCTATGGCAGCTTGTACCTCCCTCTGCAAGCTCCGCCTCTTCACCGGTGATTGGGCGCCAGAAGTGTAGCTCAGGAAAGGCACACAGGCGGCCAATCACCTGCGAGCTTGGAGAGGAGGAGCTGAGCGGCAACGCGAAGATTGAGTGAGGGAGCGGCTGGAGCAAGTGAAGAAGACAGCTGACCGGTAAGTGTGCCGTGCAGATGGTGCTGCTACAACCAGGTATGCTGGCTGTGAATGGGAGAGGGAAGGAGCCTAGGCTGGAGCAGGGGTCAGCAAGGTAAGTGTCATTGGTGTCAGTGGGAGGAATAGTGCCCCATCATTAGTGTGCCCCACATTGGTGATGTGATTAAATGGGGAGGGGGGCTGAGGCGCCAATTTTATAGTTCGTCCCCGGGTGCAAAATATCCTTGCTATGCCTCTGATCTGTGGTGCTCAACCCCTAAAGAGCAGCTGTAATTGTTAGGTTCTTCTATCCTACTCCAGTGATGGTACACTCAAACCTGACTCCAAGACTTACCAATATTCCTTGTAGCCTACAAAAGGACTTTATTATGAGTTTCAAAAGTCCTGGAGGGGAGAAAATGGTCAACGCAATCACTGAAATTCATAAAGACTGGGGCAAGCAGATTTTGCAAAAGTATTTCTCACCACAAAATCCATTATTTCTCTCTATACTCCAGGGTTGGTCTTAAAGAAGAAGTATAGCCAAAGTTTTTTTTCAGCTTTCAGTTTTCAGCTGACAGTAGGCTAAAGCCCTCTGTTGGCTGGTGTCACAGGGTCAGTCCAACTGTTATTAGCCTCCCACCATCTCCAGAGCCCATCGCTCTAGTAAATGCTAGAGGGGCAGAGCAGAGAGCTGGAGACTGACAGCCACTGGCTCTCTGCTCACTGAAGGCTAAGAACTGAGCAATCAGCAGTCTTTGATCGCTCAGTTCTCAGTCTTAGAAGCAGCGGGGGAGCGATGCTGCATCCACCTAGGTGAGTTTTTTTTTTATCTAAAACCCATAATTCTCTTTTAATTAGCTCCACTTTTACATTTGACACATTCAATTTGACACAATGTAAGAGTGGCGCATTTTATAACTATCTGAATTTGGTGCACGAATAGCTGTCAGAACCAAAAGTGTTGCAAATAATTTCTGAATTTGGTGCAATGCAAAAAGAAGAGGGATAAGCGCCAGAAAGGTGGCACAGCAGCTTTATTGAATTCCCTCCAATGTATGATAATACACAATATAACATAATATTGCAGTGAAACTATATAAAGCAATCAGGGGCGTACCTACAGGATTCATAATTGCGACCAGAAACCATGCTTTAGGGGGCTTGTGTAGCCCCCTGTATGCCTCGATAGGAGGAGCGGCGGGGGCAGCTGCATATAGAGGAACTGATCTCTCCATGTTCTTCCTGCAGCCACTGAATGCCTGTGGGAGGAAGAGAAGGAGAAGCCAGAATTCAGTGGCTGCAACAGGAACATGGAGAGATCGCTTCCTATATGCAGCCCCCTGCATATCCTCCTATCCAGATTGTCTTATGCTGCCCCCATGTACTCTGAGCTCTTTCCAGCCCCCCCCCCCTTGTCCCCCATTCATCGTATTCCCTCCTCCCCTTTCCAACCAGCTGCTGTTGGGTCAGGATGAAGAGTGGGGAAGGGGCTGGTAAATGTGTCATTACCTTTCCTTTCTGAATGGAGAGTCAGTGATCCATACTGACTCTGTCTAGTCATAACTGAAGCATAGTAAACTAAGTTTACTAAAACTATGATTCAGCTTGTGAATGGAGAGGAAGCTCTATACAGAGTTATTGCTATCTATTCATTCTGTGCTGCTGAGGCTGCAGAGATGGAGATTGGGGGCTGTGTCCTCAATCTCCTTTCTCTGTCTCAAAGGTGGAATATCAGAGGTATTTAGACCCCTAAGATTTCACCAAAGCACCCCCCCCCCAATGGGGGTCCTACATTTTTTTTTTAAATAATAAAAAAAAAATGTTTAAAAATAAACATATAAATAAATAAATTGTGTACTTGCAAAAAATGTGTCTAGCCTGAAAAAAAAATAAAACTATTGCATACACTACATCTAAATACCAGCATTTTTGTTGGTGTATATCATTTTGGATGTCGATGTAGATACCCTTTTAGTTGAAAAAACTAAGTTAAAAAAAGATTTTAAAAGACTGTATTTCATAAATTTATGGTGGTACCCATCTCGATCCCACCTTATTTTTATTATTATACAGAATCTATATAATGCCAACAGTTTGCTCAGCGCTTCACAATATAAAGGGAGACAATACAGCAACAATACAGTTCAATACAAGAGGGTAGGAGGGCCCTGCTCCTTGGAGCTGACCAACTAAAATACAACAGCAAAAAATAATAAAAAAAAAAGCAACAATACCATGTTATGACTTCTGTATTGGTATAGCAGATATGTGAACTTGAGTTTCCAAATAGTCAGGAATTATTATTTCATCACATGGTGTTGGTTCGTCAATAAGACTGCTTGGCTTCAAAATTCTACATGGCTTTGTCCACCAGAATTCAGTGGCAGCACCATCACTGTAGACATCAGTAGCAGTGTGTCTCCCTGGAGTCTGATATGGTAGGAGAAGCATGATAGTAATCCAGTGGCTATTGTTGGGAGCAGGGGCGGACTGACCATTTGGAAACTCGGGCACTGCCCGAGGGCCTGGGGTCAGTAGGGGGCCCCATGAGATGCCCCTAGTACCTTTTTCATAGGCTTTTTTGAGTTTGAGCAAGAACACAGGGGCCCCATTATCCCCTATTGCCCAGGGGCCCCATGAGTTGTCAGTCCGCCCCTGGTTGGGAGTAGGATCCTGTAATTAAACTCCAGTTAAGGTTAAAAAAACTGTACTAATCATGCCGACTTTAGATTACAATGGCATCGCTCAGCAATGTAATGGCTTTTTTTTTATCTCAGTGCTATCTGTCTGCTGAAACACTGGAAGCTGTGGTATGTGAAGCCACATACCTGCTACTGCACAATACAATTCTCTTCTGGAGGGTTAAGGCTGTAGAAACTTGTCCAAACCAATTTACAATTAGTGAACATGTGCTGTAGGTGTTTACAGAACGACATTATCTAAAAGCCAGAAGGTGAGACAGAGTACATTTGTAAGTTATGGTCTGCGTATACTATAATAAAATGTTAGTGTTAGAGATGAACCTCTGGAATGAAAATGTTCATTTCATTGTATTCCAAAATAGCTATAAAAAGAGGTTTCAAACTCAATTTCATCTTGGGCCACATCAGCATTATGGTTGCCATTGAAGGGCCGGTTGTATCTGGAAGTCTATATCAATGTATCTACACTTTATTATATTAAATGATTGCCTTTGCATTTGATTATCACTGGTTTTAGTCATAACTCAAGACTTCAGCTGTGAAGGGCAGGTGCAGACTGGCATGGAGCCCGCTCACACCCCTGTAGCAGATGATGCGGGTCTGAAGAGGAGAGTCACACATCGCTGGTATCATCCACAAGATACATTATTAGTGAATGCTCAGACTGAACATAGTTCTGCCATGGTGTTCTATCAAAAGTCACTTTTGGATGATACTAGCGGGGTGTGACTGTTTTTCAGCTAATATAAAATTGTATTATTCTCATTATAATTACCCCCCTACATCAGATGTCAAGAGCCCCCCACCATCCCTTACATTACGGTGCACCCCCCCCTCCCCTTAGCTTGTGCTGCTGCTGCTGGGAAGAAGCAGAGCTGGGAAATAAAAAGTGCAGGGTCTGAAGGAGGACCAGAGGAGGGCTGGAGTCAGCTGCCAGAGTCTTCTGAATGCTAAGACCAGGGGAGGCAGAGATGAGGAGTGCTGCAACTGCACAGAGAGTCACAGGATTGGTAGGAGGAATTTGTTCCTTCTCTCTGCTGTCAACTGCTAAGACTTGGGCTGGGAGGTAGATGTGAACCTCTCCATGGCTGCACAGAGAAGTGCAGGATCTGTCAGAGGTGTTCTCGTGTGATATGTGGGGTGGTATAGTATGAAAAAATGCTGACATGCTATATTTTTCTGCAGTGTACTTCATGACGCCACATGTCACATACTACAGTTCAATGTGCCACTCTGCTGTGCAGAGACCTGAATGGTCACTTTGTGCACTTCAAATAAAAGTAAAAGAAAAAGTTAACAATGTGATGCACTGAAACATGCACCGCACCTCCTCTCATTGCAGCTCACTGCAGCACAAAACTGATGGGGACTAAGAAAGCTGCTTTGACAAAAGCCAGACATGAGATCAGCTTCTGTTGAACAAGGACCTGCACACACGGGCTAAAAATTGGCCAGTTTCTACTGTACCAGCTAATTTCAGCCGACATTCAGTCTGTGTGTAAGGGGCTTTAGAAATTTGAATGCAGAACAGACATAAAAAATGATGCCCCCTTGTCACATTTAGCGGGCAGTACCACTGCCAAGTACAAATCATTCAAGTGAATGAGACTGCAACTGTGTGACAAATGATAGGCTCATGGGTGTGTTGTGATATTTCCATTTAAAACCACATTCAGTGGTGAATCATTAAGGGCTTGCTGCGGATAGGAGACTATCTTAATGGTGCTTGTATACATTCTCTGCAATATTTTAAAGACAAGTTACATATGCCTTCTATTGAGATCTTTAGATACAATCAGATTGTCTCATTTATCCGCTCGAAGCTTGCTTTATTGGACGAGTCACCTTTGCTCACCGCCTTTGAAATCTCCTGCAGGAACAAGGATTCCCCAAAGGGTCGGGTCTCTGCAATATATGCTCTCCTTACTGACCCGAATTGTAAACTCCCTTACATGGAACATTGGGAAAAAGATTTAGCTATCAACTATGAATTATCGGATTGGCAAGATATCGCCTAAAATTTCTGTCAATACTACCTTACTCGAAGCTAATTATAAAACTTTGTTGAGATGGTATCTGGTGCCTACCTGAATTGTGAAGATGCATCCATCTGCCTCTACCCTGTGTTTCCGGTGTTCTGGTCAGGTGGGGTCTATGATTCACATCTGGTGGCAATGCCCGCTTGTAACTAGATTTTTGATTCGAATGTTCAATTTGGTAAACTCAGTGACGGGTATAAATATTCTTAGATCCTCAGAGACGGTGCTTTTCACAAATGTTCAGATAATGTTCCCATAAATCTCATAAATTGCTTTCCTATGTTTCTGGCAGTGAGAATTACTATGGCTAGTCACTGGAGGCAATCAGTCATTCCACTTGACTATGTTAAAAAGAAACTTAATTGGATCATGATTAATGACAAACTCACCTGTGTCCTACACAATAACTTGAAGAAATTCGATAACACATGGAACCCGTGGATCCAATAACTTTCTGTGCCTTAATGACCCTCATCTGGACTTTCCTTTGCTCTTTTTATTCTTTTTGTACTGCTCTGCATTGTATTTTCTATGTTGGTAAGGCGAGATATACTTGATCTCGAATTGGCCACGATTTATGTCTTGTCTTAACTGCCAATTGTTACGGCAGACTTTGTTGTTTTGATGTTTCTATTTGTATATATGTTGGAACGTTGTTCATTGATATTGTTTGTTTTACTCATGTATTTTTCCTTTGCTAAACTATTCAATAAAAACCATTGAAATATAAAACCCCATTTGGCTGTCATTAAAAAAACAGGCATTCAGGAGGTGATGCTGTCACTTCCTAGAGGCTTTTTTTTCATGACAGTCACCCTTGTATAGCTCTCTAAAAAGCAACCCACTGTGGAATGTTTTTCAGAGATCAATGCAAGTGTAAATGAGCCCTTTGAGAATAAAAAACAGTGCAGATCGAATTGGCTGCATGTCATCTAATCCTTGACAAATGACTTCCCTGTGTCTCTATCCCATGATTTTATTACAAGGTATCAGTGCCTGTAATGTCACTAAGGCCTAGTTCACAATGGCATTGAAAGTAGGCATTTGAGGAACATTTTTAAATGCTCCACAAATGCCTATGCAAATGATACTATGGGCAGAACACAGTCTTGTTCACATTATCAAAAAATGAAGCGTTAAGAGTCGCGTTGCTTCAAAATTGAAGCCTCATGCTGAGTCAGGAGGAGTTTGAAGCCTTTCAACACCTCCCATTCACGTCTATGGTGACGCTCCTCAAACGCACTGGCAGGCATTTGCGTGGCATTTGCGGTGTGGTTGTGGAGCGTTAAAACATTACAGTTTTTTTATTTTGTGGTGTGGTTTAAACACTTGTCAAATGCTTATAAAACACTTCAAAACTGCACATAGAGCATTTGGGGAGCATTTTTAATGCTTGTAAAAAGCCAGTCTAACGCTAATACTAATGCTCATTAATTCCTGTCTAACACCTACAGTTGCAAGAAAAAGTATGTGAACCCCTTGGGATTACGTGGAGTTTTGCATGAATTGGGCATAAAATGTGCTCTGAACGTCATCTAAGTCACAACAATAGAAGAACACAGTCTGCTGAACATAATACTACACAAACATTAGATGTTGCCATGGTTTAATTGCACATAACATGAAAACATTCACAGTGCAGGGAGGAAAAAGTATGTGAGGCCCTAGCTTCATGACTTCTCCCAGAGCTAATTGGAGCCAGGAGTGAGCCAACCTTGACTCCAATCAGTGTGTTGATATTGGATGTGTTGCTGACAGCTGTCCTGCCCTTAAAAAACACACACCTGTTTTGGGCTTACTGGTTTCAAGAAGCACTGTCTGATGTGAACCATGCCTCGCAGAAAAGAGCTCTCAGAAGACCTACGATCGTTGACTTGCAGGAAGCTGGAAAGGGTTACAAAAGCATCTCCAAAAGCCTTGATGTTCATGTGTCCACGGTAAGACGGACTGTCTACAAATGGAGAAAGTTTAGCACTGTTGCTACTCTCCCTAGGCGTGGTCGTCGTCCTGTAAAAATGACTGTAAGAGCACAGCGCAGAATGCTGCATGAGGTAAAGAAGAATCCCAGAGTGTCAGCTAAAGACCTACAGAAATCTCTGGCACATGCTAACATTTTTGTTGACACATCTACAATAAGGAAAACATTAAACAAGAATGGAGTACATGGGAGGACAGCACGGAGGAAGCCATTGCTGTCCAAAAAGAATATTGTAGCACGTTTGAAGTTTGCAAAAGAGCACCTGGATGTTCCACAGCACTACTGGCAAAATATACTGTGGACAGATGAAACCAAGATTGAGTTGTTTGGGAAGAACACACAACACTGTGTGGAGAGGAAGAAAAGGCACAGCACACCAACATCAAAACCTCATCCCCACTGTAAAACATGGCGGAGGGAGCATCATGGTGTGGGGCTGCTTTGCTGCCTCAGGGCCTGGACGGATTGTTGTCATTGATGGGAAAATGAATTCCAGAGTTTATCAAGACACTTTGCAGGAAAATGTACGACCATCTGTCCGCCAACTGAAGCTCCACAGAGGATGGGTGATGCAACAGGACAATGACCCAAAGCATACAAGTAATTCAACAAAACAATGGCTGCAACAGCACAGAATACACCTTCTGGAGTGGCCCAGTCAGAGTCCTGACCTCAACCCGATTGAAATGCTGTGGCATGACCTT